AATGTCACAATCAATTTTGTTCGTCAAATCTCAAATTAGGTGGTTGGAAGAGTGTCACTAACTAGACTCAAAATTAGAAAAAAACAAAAAATTTGGAATTTTGTGACATATCCCAAGCCATCCAATAGCTAGGAGTAATCGTGACCTCCTTGTAAAAAGTTAAGCTGTCTCGTAACATAAAATCCTTAAAATTAATCATAATATTAAAATTTATTGATATGAAACCATATCCATAAATTTAATTATTACTTAAATGTGTATACGCTATTCTCTTATAAACTTTAAAAGATGGGCACTAATTAAAACATTTGAAAATTATTTATTATAGGACTAAAATTAATCATAATATTAAAATTTATTTATATGAAACCATAACCATATATTTAATTATTACTTAGATTTATATTCGCTATTCTCTTATAAATTTTAAAAGATGGGCACTAATTGAAATATTTGAAAAATATTTATTATATCTATTACTATTATAATAAATGATTTATTAATTATTGACATAAATTATAATGTAATTAATTTACTATATAATTATCTATACTACATTATTAAGCTAGAGTTAAGGAGTGGACACCCCCAAGAATAAAAAATGACCCTATCTCTAAAGAGAATATAAGACACGTGCCTTGAAATAGAGGGACTTTAGTATATATGAGATAAAGATTTTATTGCTAAAGATAATGTTGGTGTAGAGTAATTGATATTCTTCACTGATATGATGTAATCAGAAAGGGGGTTAGAGAAAGCTATATGTTTCTCTTTAATATTTAGTCTTTATCTTTTTATTAATATGATAAAATGGATTAAAAATATTATTTTTTAAAAAAATCACCCCACGCATGAAAAGGGTGGCTACTTCTAATTTCTTTATGATAATTTCCATAGAATTCCTAAAATCTTGAAAAAAGAGTGGCTACTTCTAATTTCTTTATGATAATTTCTATAGAATTCCTAAAATCTTGAAAAAAAGAGAGACCGATTGTATGATATTTCCTTCCTTAAGCTCCTAATTTTCTCAACCGTACAGAGATGGGTAAGATTCTGGTATGACCTATATATGAATATAAGGGAGAGATAAGTCTCTCCTAAATCTCCTTTACCTTTGGTAATTTCCCTTTTTACATTTTGCTTAATATTCTAAAGCCAAAATTTTCCTTTGGCATGTAGCTTAATATTTTAAGCTAAAATTATCAAGACCTTATAGTAGTCCACATAGAGAAATCCAAGTTTTAGCGAATCGTATCATATGGAATTCCTTTAAATCAAAACAATAATCATTGTTAGATAAAGCACTAAAGCCTAGTCAGTTTTTAACTTTTTATTGGAACGTAATGGTTGTAAAACAAATTAAAAGATAGATAAAGAGAGAGAGGTAAGCGAGAAGAGAGATATAAAGAACCATCAATTAAAATTATAATGGAACATAAAATTACATTCAAAGTTCCCCTATAATTTCAACTCAAATATTATATAAAAAGCAACCAACTCAAAATTGTGATATCCCTCACATGTTTGACTCAAACAACCATTAGTTGATGAGTGTAACCAAGCCTAACTCAGACAACCATAATATATGTGTCTAACAACGAGAACCACCAAACTATGTTGAAAATTACGGTTAGTCAGGGTGGCAATTGGGTTGGATTGACCGGGTGGACATGTAGTAATTTCAAAGTTATCCTAAGAAAAAGTAATTTCTTGGTTATCTTAAGGGAAGGAGGAGTAATTTCTTGACGTTATCATCAGAAAAAGTAATTTCGCGGTTGTCCGGCTAAGAGGAGTAATTTCGAGGTTATCCTCGGGAAAAAGAAGTTGGTTATCCTCGGAAAAAGTAATTTCGAGGTTATCCAAAGGGAAAGATGAGTAATTTCGAGGTTATTCTCAGGAAAAGAACTTGAGCTTAGTTGGTTAATGATTAACAAATTGCAATGTCATAGTTTCAGTTCTTGTTGAGGGTAGGGTCCTAGGTTCAGTTCTTGCTGAGGGTAGGGTCCTCTTCCCCACTGACTCACCCAAAAAAAATTTCATAGAAAAAAGAAAATTTGAGGTTATACTTTCTCCTGCATCGCAATAGGGTGGCAATGGGATATGATTCTAAAATCTTTCCGAGGAAATTTTTTTTCGAGGTTATCCTTTCTCCTGCATCGCAATAGGGTGGTAATTGGATATGAATCTAAATCTTAGACTTTGTGAGCTGAGTCAGGTTTTTGGTCCACCTTGGACTTGACAATCTTGGATTTTATCAGGTCAGATTTGGGTTACACACATATAACCAACCAATAAATCAGATCTAGGTTAGAAGACACACATATAACCAATAAAAAATTTATAAACACATATCCAATAAAAAATTCATATGTTTATATCCGGATTTGGATGAAGGTGAGATTGGATCAACTACTGAATCTGGATTGGAAAATTTGAAATTTTATATATTTATACCCAGGTAGGGAAAAAGATGAAAATGGACCAACAATTAAGTTCTTTTACCTATCGCTCTATTTTATACCTGGTTTGGATAAAGATCAGACTGGACCAACAACTAAGTTCTTTTACCTATCGCTCCATTTTATACCTGGGTTTGGATAAAGAAGAGAAACTATTAAGTTCTTTTACTTATTGCTCTAGCTAACCTGTAAACTTTCAATACACCTATGAAAAATTGATAGCTTGGAAGTGAATCTATTTTGAATTCGAGTTCGATAAATACATTGCTTATGAAGCCCCATAGTTGTTAGATTGGAGATTCAAAATAGATATAAAAAAGAACAATTGCTTAATTATATTACATTATTGATTTTAGAATATGTAGATTAAAATCAATTAAAGGGAACTTTTTTTTATATAGTAATGATGAATACATCCAAACAGGGCCCATATTTACAATTATGTCCCAATCCACATTTACAATTACATCTTAACAATTACAAAAAAGAAAATTAATCCCCACCCCATAACCCTATTTCGAATAGTTTAGTGAAAAAAAGAGTTAGCCCCCACCCCACAACCCTATTTTGAATAGTTTAGTGGGGATAGGGACATCTGCTGGTAAGAATGGAATTCCATTTGGGATGGTTTAGTGGAAGGGACATCTGCCTGTTGTAGGAATGAAACTTCATTGAATAATAAGTTGAAAATTTGAGGTGATCTGCCTCCTGTAGGAATGAAACTTCATTGAATAATAAGTTGAAAAATTGAGGTGAATGGAAATTTTGAAGTCCAAAAACAAACAATGTAATTGAACCTTTGTGAAAATCCAAAAAGCAAAAGGAACACACAGTGTTGCTAATTGAACCTTTATATTATCCATCCAAAATACAAATAAATGTAAAAGGCATTCAAATCTAATAAAAAATGTAACTAAAGCTATACAACCAAATCAAAACCCTAACTGAAGCTGTAATGCAAGTTTTTTTGAAGTTCTCATATTCTCAATATGAGTTCTTCTGAAGTTTTACCTGAAATTTTCTTTCTCTTCAGTCTCTCTGCTCTTTTGAAGTACTTCTGAAGTTATCTAAACTTTTCTCTCCTATGCAAGTTCAATCTCCTCTTCCATCTCATCGTTGTAAGCGTCCAATCTCCGCTTCTATCTCATCGTTGTCAGCAAGCACCCTCTGTAATACAAGGTCATAAGGCCATTTTTTAATTAAGGGCTAAAATTGCCCCAATCAAAACTTCTATAATATAAACTTCTATAATAAACCTCTATAATATAAGGTTAAGACCTCTATAATAAACGTCTACCTCTATAATAAACGTGGAGTGATCCCGCTGGTGCTCCAAAAGGAGTGACCTTTTTGGAGTCAAGAAAAGAGGAGACAAGAAAAGAGGAGAGAAAGGAAAGGTAACCACAAAAGAGTCGAGACAAAGAGGAGAGAGTCAAGAAAAGAGGAGAGAAAAGAAAGGTAACCTCAAAAGAAAAGATAACCTTCAAGGTTAAAGAGGGAGAAAAGAAAGATAACCTCAAACAAAAGAAAGATAACCTCAGGGCCAGACAACGAGCAGTCGAGTCAAGCAAAATCTTCGAGTCGAGTCAAGTATTCTTTGTTTTTTCTTCAAGTCGAGTCAAGTCAAGCAAAGTCTTCGAGTCGAGTCAAGAAAAGAAAGATTTGATTGTCTAAGTCGAGTCAAGAAAAGAAAGATTTGATTAGTAGACAATCACTTCTTATTTTTCTTCGAGTCGAGTCTAAGAAAAGAAAGATTTAATTTTTTTAGTAAATATTTGATATTTTTTTTAATAAATAGTTCTTTATAAGAATGGATTGAAACAAAAGATCAAAGTTAAAAAATGAGAGATAGATTTATACCATTATGATTAGGGAAAAATCAAAGATCAGAGTTAGAAAATGAGAGATAGATTTATACCTTTATGATTAGGGAAAACAAAAGATCAGAATGGATCGCATCAAGTTAGAAAAACAAAAGATCAAAGTTAGAAAATGAGAGATAGATTTATACCATTATGATCAGGGAAAAACAAAAGATCAGAGTTAGAAAACGAGAGATAGATTTATACCATTATGATTAGGGAAAGCTTTCTATATTCCCCTAAGATAGATTTATACCATTATAATTAGAGAAAGTTTTCTATGTTCCCCTTCGTACATTTTTTAATTTTTAATTTTTTTTTATAAACGGTTTTGATAACAAATTTTGGACCTCCATTCCTATATTAACTCCATTCTTATATTAACTCCATTTTTATATTAAACTAACGAAAAAAAATATTTTCAATAAAAAATAACCAAAATACCCCTGAAAATTTCAAGGGGTATTTTGGTCATTATTTTTTATCAAAAAATTAAAGTTTATATTTTTTTATAGGTGAGCCCCATTAATAACACGTACCAAATTTCATATTAAAAAAAACGAACATAAAAAGTTATGATTATAACTAATAGGGGACATAGAACTTTTATTTTTTGGGGAACATAGAAAGCTTTCATTTATGATTATAACTAATAGGGGACATAGAACTTTTATTTTTAGGGGAACATAGAAAGCTTTCATTTATGATTATAAGGGATAGGGGGACATAGAAGTTCTATAAAGATTTCCCTATCATACAAAATAGGGGGAACATATCCCTTATAATTATACAAAATAAACATAGGGGAACATAGAAGTAATAAAAATAAAAATAGGGGGAACATAGAAACTTTTCCCTTATGATTATATGGAATAGGGGGAACGTAGAAGTTCTATGAAGCTCTCCCTTATGATTATACAAAATACGAGGGACATAAAAGTTCTATGAAGCTTTCCCTTATGATTATACAAAATAAAAATAGGGGGAACATAGAAGTAATAAATAAATAAAAAAAAAAAGAGAAACATAGAACTTCTATGTTGTAGGGGAACATAGAAAGCATTCCTTTATGATTATAAAGACTATTATTACATGCAAACTCTCCCGGAAGTGTTCCTGTACCATTATGATTATACAAACTGTTATATACAAATTAAAAACAAAAATGGGAACCCCTACTACTCCAGATTTAAAAAACTAGAATCCGTTTTTTCCTCAGAGCATGGAGTATATGTCAGTTAAAAATAAAATTATAGTCAGGTAAAACCTTAGATACGATCATTGAAGTTTGTTGGATCAAGCTGCTTGAGCAAACCAAGATAGGTCAAGTACAAAACACGATCTTTGGCCCCAGTCCTGTGCTTTTTATTGTGCTTGCAAAAGTACTTAAGCTGTTCCAAAGTCAAGTGCCCTAAGGATTGAGTTAGCAGCAAAAACAGCCAATTAATCATCTTTTTCTTGTCACTAACAACCGGCTTAGCGGCCTCGTCCTGGCCGCAAAGCCGGCACTTGAAGAGCTTCGGGGTCGTCCAATCCTTCGGTGCTCGATCCCGCATATCCGGGAGATTCGACTGGACAAAGTGCATCAACTCCAAGTATTTCCCCTGGATCTCAATTTCTAGGTAGTCCACTTTATCGCAATGCTTGCACTTGACTTCGCCGCCGACCCACCTAATGTCATTGTCGCTGAGATATTTCAGAGTCTGGACCGAAGCCCTAAGGTTCGTGGCCCAAACGAACTGAGGCTCGACAAACTTTGGCTTCAGTGTCTTCTTCGGCTTTTGCTCTTCTTCATTACGTACTCGAGCCGATTGGCACACCGAGACGTCTTCGGAACGGGAACGGGATCGAGAACGAGAAGAGAGAGCGGACATAGCGTCTTCAGACTCAAGAGGAGATGAGGGGTGGTGGTTTTGAGGGGGTTGGGAGGAGAGAGGAGATGGGTGCTTTGATTCATTTTTCTCCAAGTTTGATGAGGGAGAAAGAATAGGTGAAGAGAAAGATGATGATGTTGAGTGAGTGAAACAACGTGCTGGTTGGAGGTAGAAGGGGGATGGGTTTGGAGGGCGTGGGGGAGAAGAGAGAGAAGAGGAAGATTGGCACGAGGAAAGAGAGAGAGAGGTTTGTGGTGGATGTGGGGTTAGAGAGAGAGAGGGTTGGAATGGATGTGGGGTTAGAGAGAGAGAGGGTTGGAATGGATGTGGGGTTAGAGAGAGAGAAGGCTGTAATGGACATTCTGGTAGAGAGACAGGAGGACTAGGGGGACTAGGAAGATATAGAGAGAGGGAAAGGTCCAGTCCTCTTGGCTCACATGGTGGGGAGTCTTCCATTTTTCTCCTCTTTCTCTCCATGTTGAAGATTTCTGAAATACGGTTACTTAAATACAGAGGATTCTTTAATTTTGAGATAATTAAATCTCTATTTATTGGTGTATTATTCTCTTTTCAAATCTATACCCAAATTATAGGAGTGTCGTACAGAATCGTTCTTTGTCTCTACAAATCAGGACATTTAAATTTTTAAAAAGATAACCTTTCATGAGAGATGTAGTTAGCCAACTGAAAATGATTCTTTTCTCTCTCTAAAACCTAAAAGACCGTGTATCTATGCTCCCAAGGGAGCATAATTTGATTCTAATACATTAACGATCATGAGCATTATTTATTCGAAACGTATATGATGAGAGTATTTAGAAGCTCACAATGTTGAAATATTTGAACCGTGATCCCCATAGAGAATAAAAGGCTCGGAGATTAGCTTTAAAATATTTGAACCAAATTTTTGATCCCCCATTTAGGATAAAAGGCTTGGAGATAATTTATAGGAGAAGTTTTTGCTATTTAGAATAAAAGGCTTGGAGATAATTTATTGGAGAAGTTTTTGCTTACAAAAGTCTGTAAAGCAAAGATATTAACAAAGGTTCCTATGCAAAGCTTTGGGCAGTAGGTGTTATCACCAACATGCAAAAGAACGGATCACAACCACAACTATCTATTGCTGCAAATATCAGCGAGCCACGCGTGACGAGATCCCTTATAGAGAGAGATACTTGGTGTACTTCCTAGAAGAAGAAAAAAAATTGGATGACGGCTCGGTGTTCTGATATCAGGTTGAAAAAAAAAATGTAAAAAGAAAAAAAAAAAATACAAAGTAAAATCTAAAAATAGAAAATATTAAATTTTGTTTTTAATAATTAAGGCTTGAGACATTCTTTAGTGCATAGAAGGTGCAATTATTAATCTCAAAGGAAAAAAAAGATTGAAATTTGAGTTTTCAAATAATTAGATCTCGAGAATTTTTTTTTAAAGTCTTTAGAATGTGCAATTCGAAAATTTTCTCTTTGTACATAGAGGTAACAATTATTTTTGTAGAGTAGACACTCATCTTTTGTACATGAGTTCACAATTATTCTTTTTTAACACAGTTTCAAAAAAACATAATTATTGCACTTGATTTCGTGACTCATCTTAAACCGTCATAAATCATTTGAAAAAGATAATTACTTAACACAGTTTCAAAAAACATAATTATTGCACTTGATTTCGTGACTCACCTTAAACCGTCATAAATCATTTGAAAAAGATAATTATTGAACACAGTTTCAAAAAACATAATTATTACACTTGGTTGACTCACCCTAAGCGGTCATAATCATTTGAAAAAGGTAATTATTTGTACATGAGTTTACAATCATTCTTTTCTAACACAGTTTCAAAAAACATAATTATTGCACTTGATTTCCTGACTCACCTTAAACCATCATAAATCATTTGAAAAAGATAATTATTGAACACATTTTCATAATTATTACACTTGGTTTCGTGACTCACCCTAAACTGTCATAATCATTTTAAAAAGGTAATTATTGCATTTGAACGTCGTGACTCACCCCAAACCTCCTAATTTAAGCCAAACTTTGGGGTCCTAAGATTATTTCTAGGTGGGGGTTTATCAATGGGCGCAATGAACATTATACTCTTGCAGGAGTATAATATCTTTCCCAACTAAAATTACGTAGGAGTATAATATCTTTGGCAAGTAACATTACAAGAAATATGAGTATAATATCTTTCCCAACTAAAATTACGCAGGAGTATAATATCTTTGGCAACTAAAATTACAAGAAAGATGATGTGTAGTCAGAGAAATTACAGGAAAGAAAATCTCTAATGAGAGGATATGGTTAGTTACGATGCACATCGTTTTCTCTCTCTACTTTCTCTCTACACCTTGGTGCGCGGTAATTGCCCTTATCTTGCTTGGTGTAGGGTAGATGTCCGTAATTTGTAGGAACCTTGCCGCTTGAGCTCACTTGGGATTTACCAGAGGAAGCCATGAAAGACGAAGTTCAGGGGAAGAAAGATGGGGGTAGAGTGCTGTTATGGGGAAGATGAGATACAAGCTTTGGGCCTTGGGTAGAACCTTTTTGTCAGATGAGATACAAGTTAGGGGGAAGATGAGATACAAGATACATGGTAGAACCTTTTTTTTCAGATAATTGATGATTATTTAGATTTAAAAAGGTGCCGTTTCATTCGTTTTTGTATCTTTTAACCATTATCGATTTTACAATATTCTGAAATATCAGGTAGGACCTTTTTTGTGGGATATTGATGATATCTAGATTTAAAAAGGTGCCGTTTCGTTCAGTCAAACAAGTAACAACCCAAGTATTTTTTAAGATCAACCCAAATTTTAGGGGAGAGAACGAACTCAAACTATATCTCACCTATATCTTAAAATATAGTTACTATTTTTTCACACAAAATATCTCGCATACTACTATGTTAAGACTTCTATACTAATTAGGTTTATAAATAAAAGTCTTTCAACTTCACGTGCCCCTCTAAACCTCTCAGTAAGGGATAGCAGTATCTCAACCTCACGCGCCCCTCTCAACTAGGTTGGCTCTCTATCCCTTTCTCTCTTTGTTTCTTTCTCTCCCCCTCTCTTTGGTTATGTCTCTCAACTTTTCAACGAGGTATGCTCGTTTTTTTCTCTCTCTCTTTCTCGCCCTCTCTCTCTTGATGCCTCTCAACCTCTCAACAAGGTGTGCCGTTTTTCTCTCTCCCACTCTCCTCTCTTTGTTTCTCTCTCTTTTCCTTTGTTTCTCTCTCTCCTCTCTTTTCGTTTCTCTCTCCCTCTCTTCTTTCTCTTCATTTCTCTCTCCCCCTCTCTCTCTCTCTCTCTCTCTCTCTCTCTCTCTCTCTCTCTCTCTCTCTCTCTCTCTCTCTCTCTCTCTC